CAACTATTGATGGAGAATATATGTTTTAATTAAATTTCCTAAGATCAGAACTTAACCCAGGACTAAATTAGTGTCTGAGCCCATAGCACACCCGTAGCAGCTAAATCCTAACCGAAACTCCAGTAAAGCGCAGCATGGTCAAGAGTCCAGCCATATTCACTGTTTAAACATTATGCCTTGAGTTAAGGAAGACTGGTTAAATTGGGGCAGTGTGTAAAATGTATACTGGGAGGAAAGTATTTTAACTGTGGTTGTGTGGTGAAATACACAGTTACAATTAAAAAGAAAGATTACTAATGAAATAGGAAATGTGCATGTGATGCTTTTGCCTTGCAGGATGGGACCCCAGTACAGGCTTTCATAGCGGAAGTTATGGATCAAATAGCTGGCATTTCTGTTATTAGAGACGAAATGGTAAATTCTATTCCTGTGTTGTATGAAAACTGTAACACTTAGCCCTTGACACTGAAGGCTGAGTTTCATGCTCACCACCATACATGTACCTAACAGAAACCATATGTAAAAGATACTGCTTCTATAAACTTTCCCTTTTTCCTGACTACATAGGCTGTATTTTTTCCTTTCTCTTAGATAATGATTGACACACAGCTGAAAAACAAAAAATCAGTTATTTGCAAGAAGCTGCTGATGTGTTCTGAAAGTATGCCTCCTACATCTTTGTTTTTTAGCACAAAGCCATTCTGCCTCTAAGTATGTTTGTAATCACTTATTTTGCCCCTTAATTTCCTAAGTCAGTAAGCAGTTTTGCCATCCATACTGCAAAGAGTAGTATTTGTCCTTCCAGATTTGCTTTCTTAACTTGTTTTCCCCAATGGTAGATTCTGAGTGATTATGAATCACACACTTAAATTCAAAACAAATAAAAAATGTATGCTTTATTGAAGTATAAATAAAAGAGAATGTTGCACATTATTCTTGAAAAGTAAACATTCTTTAAGGCTTAGTTTTGTGGCACTCTACTGAAAAGGTAGATTTTAGTGTTCAACAGCTGTAATGGTCTGTTTTTAAAACAGAGTAGTCACTTCTACTTACAAAACCAGCTCTTAATTACATTAAGAGCACTGAGATAAGCAGGTATAGCAATTTTTCTTGAGCGTATAAATGTGCAAAAATTTCAGCTTATCTCTTCCACAGAGAGAACTTGTTGGAGAGCATGTCTTACACAGCTCTTCTCTGTAGAATTCTCCTTTTTCAGTTTAAGTTTTGTGAGAGAACAGTCTACGCTTCTTTGTCTTGAACTCAGCAAAACTGTTCTTTTTGTGTTTTTCCTCCATAAATGTCTATTAACCTGTATCAGACATTGTTGTGAAAGGGTCAAATAGGCGTTTCCTGTAAATATGGGTACGCAAAGTGCAAGAATAGATTTTTGATACAGTTAATAGATTTCCAAGAAAAATACGTTCAGTCAGTGTGCTTCAACTGAGAATAACTCTCAAAGGCACTTAATTTCAGTGTTCAAATTTAGTTCCTTAATTGATAGAAAGCAACTTGTTGGCACTTGCTAGGATATTATAAATGTAGCCATTTCATCACTGCTGAATTCCAAGTTCTTATTTTCCAGGATATTGAGTATATTCAATCACATTACAACATTGAAGATTTTATTAATTTTAATCACTACCACCAAAAGGAACACGGACATCTTTACCACTTTGTCTTAAATCCTGTATTTCATCACTATACAAAACACTTTCTAAAGGAGATTCTTCGCTTGGCCCACAAATCTTCTCTTTACTGTCCTATTTATGCACAGTATGTGGAAGGCAAGGTAAGTAGGGAGTTATTTGTTTCTTTTATATTACGTATTATCACCTTTACTCACTTTATTTTTCTCTTTGCTTCTGTGAATGACTGTAAACAGGAATTTTCTCAGCAACCTGCAGCAAATTGCACTTTCTCTTGACAGCATAATCTGCACTCATGGACATGGCTGTTGCATAGTAGGGTTAGTCTGTAGCACATTCAGTAGTGCACATGAGTCCAGACTTTCCTAGCATCTTCAGAAAGCATGTGGAGCACCATGAATTTGAAGTGTACTTGGCCTTGGCTCTTTATTGAGTCTGTGAAGAGAGAGCAGCTCTTTGCAGGGGGTACCTCCTTCTGAGCTGAGTCACTTTTTGCAAATGCGTGTTTCTCAGTTGAATTTAGAGAATCCTAGGGCAACTGTTCCCTAAATGTAGTTAGATGTCTTCAGTTACACACAGTAGTGTGTTGTCCTGGGAGCAGCACAGTAGAGGAATAATTTGTTTGCTACCTCCTCACTTGTTTCTGGGAGAAGCATATCTGCTTCTTACCTGTGTAGCTTCATGTATTGCTGTTGCCTTGTGCGTTGTGTCAGCCTCCCCCCATAAGCAAGTTGTAGTTCTGATAGTCAAGTTTCTGTCCTTTCCTGTCCATTCCCAGTAGATCAGTTCTAGGATGAAGTAGCAAGCATCCAGTATTCCCACTTCTGCCTAGAGTAGGACCATGTGTTGAAGTTGTAAGCTGTAGTTTGGGTTTGACTTCGTTTCATGCTCTTGTGTTGGATGTATAGGTGAAGAAACAAGAAACTCACAGCTTATCAACTGAGGAGACCAACATAATAGTTTTTATTTAACTGCTTTTAACATGCTAATACACCTGGTATATCTTTGTCACTTGCAAATCAGTTACCAATCAGGTTTTAAAAGACAAGTTATAAAACACATACAGTATCTTCATCTTTAACAATGATTTGCATTTCTGGTCATAGTTTAATAGTAGAACCTGATCAAGTTGTCTCACATAACACCACTCAGCTGCATAATGCATTTTGAGAGGTACCTGTGTTTGTTTAGCTTGAGGACAAAGCAGAGGGTAGGGAAGAAAAAAGGAATTATGTCACTGGGCATAACATAGCATGAGTAAATGCAAAGGGGCAATATTAAAAACACATCCAGGTGGTTTATAAGAACTCTTCAAAAGTGATTTAGGTGCTCTATACTGTGTTTTATCAAAAGTCAGTGGGACTTAGGCACCTCACTGTCATTGAAAATGTGACTTGTGTTTCTGAAAGTGCCATGGGAGAACCATAGGGACCTAATGTGTGAGAAAATCCATTTCCAAGAAGAAAGTAATTTGTGGAAGCAAAATAAAAGACTCTTTAAAAAAAACCTCATGTACGTGTCTTGTCATCAGTCTCATGTCAGAAAAGGGAATACAGGGTAAAATTTTTGAATATGTCAACTCATCGATGTGTAGCCATTGAAAGCTGCTATTTGGCCCAGCCCAATCACGTAGGCTCCTGCCAGCATTAGTGGAGAAAGCAGGGTGCACCCAGAGGGCAGTTCATCCATCAATCACAACTACCTATCTTGGCATGGAAAGAATTGCCCTCTGGAGATGCTTATCTCAGACTCTGGAGGGTGCCTGCATGGCTAGCTAAAGCAAGCACCCAGGTTTTAGATGGCGAGTGAGATGAATTCTGTCCTCTGTGACTTGGGTGTTTTTGAAATCACCCTAGTTTTTAACAGGGGAATTTTGACAGGATAAACATAGGGACATTTTCAGAAGGATGATCTTTCCTGCTTCTCCACTGTACGCTTTTGTGGAGTTTTATTACATGTTCTCTTGAGGAACCAATGTCCTTGCCTAGCATTAGGTTCTCAGATTCTTAAGAGGCACTTACAAAAATGCAGTTTAATGGCAGTGGATGGAAGAGAAAAGTTAAATCTTACTAATCATTCCAATTTGGTCTGTTTCCAGGCTACAGAGTTCCCTTAAAGTTACTTGAGCTTATCACTGCTTTCTAATAAGTGGTAAATGTGATACTTTGCTTGGTTCTCAACATAGTAACATCAAGTTTTTTCAATATTTGTGGATGGAACAGTACTTCAGTGTAATTTAGTTTGCATTAATGTTCATTCCCTATTTCCTGTAATTTTACTTTTTTTTTCCTTTTATGTCGTAAGTTATGACATAGCCAGTCATGCAGTAATAAATGGAATACAGCTATTTCTAATGATCCATGCTATTCACATTACCATTAGGGTTTTTGTTCGCTTCAAGTTTATGCTGGCTTATTAACATTTATCACTTGGATGAAATTGACATTTTAGTCAGTATAGAATTTCTATATAAATTCATAACCATTCTTTGCCAAACAGGCAAAGGTTAGCAGTAAGCAGATAACATAGCTTAATGAGGTCAAATCAAGCTGATTCATGATCACTATGGAGAAAAATATCCTCCTGGGGAAAATACTTGTGCTGAAAAATCCCATAAACCAAACCACTTGTTTATCTGTCATTCCCACAGAGATAGTAATGTAATTACTCTCATAATTATCTTCATTAGTGTCAGGAATTATCTGCAATTCATTCCTCTGCTCTGAGTATGTTTGTTTATTTGCTGATTTTTTTCTCTCAGATTTAGCCAACAGAGCTAAGAATTTTGTATTTGCAAAGCCATACAACAGACATCTGTGATGCACTGTTCTGACATTCTCTTTGCTGAAATATAGATCGCTGTCTTTCAGTTTCAGAATCCCTGTGCCCATTCCCTGACATCTGCCCTTCATTACATGGTTCCCGTGCGACCAAGACGACAGATTGTCTATCCTCTGGAAGAGCTTGGCATAAACGCTCCATCAGAGCAGGTCTCCAAGGATCAGGTGGGTAACAGAAGCAGCAGCAGGCAAGAGGCGGCGTGCCAGCTAATGCAGGGTTTGGCAGATGGGATGGCATTATCATCTTAGTGTTGATAGGTTGCTTCTTAATTACACTGAACATGGTGTCCATACCCTTACAATCCCAGCTTTGCTTCTGCACAACCGTCACTGCTTCTGATCTTGAATTTCAAATGCATTACAAACCACAACCACTGAACTATAACATTTACATTGTAAGCGCTTGCGTTTTAACAGTATTTTTTCGTTATGTTATTTTCAAACTCCCAACACATTTTAAATGTTCTCAGTTAGTGTTTAGCTCTTCTACCTGGTATTTTTTTTTAGGTATTATGCTTTGCAAGTGGAAAAAGACAATGTCATGCTTCTGACTATTTCTGTAGAAATCACTTAAGTCAATTTTATTTCAAAGTCAGGTTTATTCCATGCACAAGATACCCTTAAAGAACACCTGAAAATATCAGGAATAATTTAAGAGCAAAGGAAAAGATTGTTTTCACTACCAAACAGTTCGTATTTGCATAGCACTCATGCAGTCCAGAGGTACGAAACTAAAAGCCTCTTAAAATTTAATTTGTTAAATAACTTATACTTTATTCTGTCCTACATTTTTAAGTAACTCAAACTTGATGACAAGGTGGTTCCTCACAAGAGTAATTAGCAAGGCTGAAATATTAGGAAAAACACCATTAGTGATGGATACTCTCAGTAGGTAGCTGTAATTTCCTAAAGAAACGTAATTAGGGAGCTTTATGTCTGTCTAGTAACTTCCAGTTGGCTGAGATGGGCTCTCATATAATATTTTTAGTGCTGTCCTTTTCACAGTTAGTCCGTAATTTTTGGCATCCAAAACTCTTAATTAAGGCAGCAGTTGGCATAGCAGAATTCAGAACATGGCTGAGGCTATTGATCTGAGTTTGGCTTTGCTGAACCATCTTCCCCCAATGTTCACATACCTGCCTTCCTCTTCTTTGCAGAATAAACTATCTGATGCTTTTCTTTAAACTTCTTCCTCTTTTATCTTTAAAATGAGTTGTTGCTCTCTTACTAGAAGAGCTCAGCTTAGCATTTTTTTTTGAGCTTGAAAATCACAGACTTCTGATGTTTGAGAGATGTGCAAATCTGTGGTCTGCTCCATTCCCAGGTTCTTCCTGAGGATTTCTGAAAGTTGTAGGTAGTGAGATAATTGTTTAAAATCTTGCAAGTTTAATGCATTTCTATTTAATGAAATGTCTGAGATTCTCACTAACGAAGTTTTGCTGAAAAAAATGCAGACTAGCCACTGTGTAAGTATCCATGCATATGCACCAGCATTAATTATAGATTTTTGACAGACTGTGTTCTATCAAAACTGACATCTGGGGTTGATCCCTAGGTGGTAACTTGAGGATAAAGCCAGTCCGCTACTGCTGCCTGTAGTTTTCTGAAATACCAAGAATTTGAAACCGTAGAAAACTAAATTGACTGTTCTATGGAGTGAATGAAATGACCTTTGGCCACCGTACGTTGAGAAAGCTTTATAACTTAAGAGGTTCCCTGCCACAGGGGGACTGAGTGTACTCATGAAAGTAAGAAGCTGGGGATGTTTTCAGATCTTGGATGTTTTGTTCGCTCTGGTAGCAGCCAGGCATAAAGCATTTACCCTCTCTCTACTCTGATGTTACAGAAAGGAAGATTGATTCCCATCAATAATCTTGCTCTTCCCTGCAAAATCCTGCAGCTAAGTTGCAAATAAAATGAAGTGTATTTTATAAAATTAACATAATCAGATTTCAGTAGGCACAAAATTATTATACTTCTACCTTTTTGTGGCTATCAAAAGGCCTGTTCACACACTCTGTAAATAGAAAGACACAATCTGTCTTGCAGAGAGCAAAATATCCCACGAAGGAGTTAAATGTGACAACTCTGCAAAATGGAAAGGCTGAGAATTGTCACCTTTAAAAGTACTGTAAGACAAGGTGAGGTACATTTTGGTTATAGAGGGTGCTACAGGCTAGGAAGTGAGGTAAAAGAGAAATGGAAAAACAACATCGTAAGGAAAGTGTGGAGAAGAGAGGGAGAAAAGTGAAAGGCAGACAAAGAGGCTGGAACAGGAATTAGTGAGCTGTTGTCTGAGACAAGCACCTGGATAGCAGTAAGGAGAACATCTGCTATCATCTTGGTTAGGGTGGTTTTAAACAAGATAGGAGCAGGATCTTGCAGGGTCCTAAAAGATTTGGGCAAGCAGGAATTCCAAGTAGTTGAGACCGCTCCTCATTTCTTTATCATGCTTCTCTATTCTATCTCACTGAGCTTGTTTTAGCTGAGGGGACTTTGCCGTGTCATATTAAAAAGCACTTATTACTGACAGTAACCCATGCCCACTTCTTTCCCAAAAGCTGGAGAACAGATTATCATTGTAATTCTTGTTTTAGATAGCTCTGCAGTGATGGCAGGATTTTTTCCTATAAACCGCAATACAAAGATTGTAAATGCAAGTCGATTTCAGAAATGTAAAACTTTCATTTGACTGCCTGTCCTAATTAATTGCTTGAGTATCTATCGCTTATGAAAGAGCTAATTGTAATGAAATTCTTGCTTTGATACCCACAAGATGTCCCTTGATATCTAGCCATCAACATCTGCTTCTCATCTACTGCTTTTTCAGCTTTCTGCTTTCCTCTTGTTCCAGCCTTTTTTGAGCTCGCGCTCTCTTTTTCTTGCTGCAAAATTTATTTTTCACCAGTAACAGCTTGGGGCTCAGCAGCTCAGCCATTCAGTGTCTAAGCACAGCTCTTGATTTGTGCACATATATCTCTGTTGGCCATTAGTGGCTTAGTATCTTAGAGAGAGTGTACGGTGGGAGCCCTGGGGCTCCATCAGTTTGTGTATCTCTGTAATACGTTCCAGCCTGCTTGTGAGCATGAGGAGATTCTCTCATAAATATTGACCCAGTACAGACAACTCAACCAGGACCCACAAGGACTCTTTCTCATTTCCTTCCTCCAAAGCCAGAAGCGAGAGCAGCAATCTAAATCAGAAAAGCTTTGCCCTCAGCTAATTCCCATGCGTTGCCAGTTCAGATGGATCTTGGCTGTGCTAGAGAGATGGTTTTTCTGCAGGTTTGGATTGATTGTTGCAGACAGGTGAGCACCAGAAATTTTAAGTCTGTGGTAACTTCTTCTTCTTGTCCCTCTGTCAAATCTTTCTATTATTCTGCAGTGTCTGGAAAAATAAAAAAGGGGGAAACCCCATGCACCACCCTGTCATGGGTTCCTGGCCTGCTCACTCCTGCTTCTAGCAGGCAGTATGAGCTGTATTTTGTGGGGCCTAAGAAAGCATAGGTCCTTTTTCATGTAGTCTCTCTGTGAGAGCTAGATGTAGGGTAGAGAGATTTACTCTCAAAATCCAGCAATTTATCATATAAAAACATAACTTACCATTACCTGAGCAGCTATTTAACTGCAGTTTTCCAGCCACCCTGTTATCCCCATGTCCTTGTGATATTTCCCTTGATTCAATATTGTTTCTAGTTTGAAACAGACTTTTGGTTTGTGTTGCCTCTTTGCTTATCATTAAAATGACTGACTCCGAAGGAATACAGAGTTTAGGAACTCTACCTGTTCAGCCTCTTTGTTGCCTGGCCTTTTTACTAAAGCTTTGCATAGGTTTTAAGGCAACTGCAATTTTTTTCCACTCTCTCAAACCACAACTCTGTGCTGCTTCATCTCTGCATCAGAAGACCTGTCAATTCCCAAGCAGTGGATCTCCATTTCCTAAAGGGCTGCAGATTCTTATGAACATCATACTATCTTCCTCTGACAGTCAACAGTCACTAATGACAGAGTATGTTTTTACCCCACTCCTTGAGATGACAAATACATTTTGCTGCTGCTGCTTTTCTGTTTTTGTTCCTACAAAACTCTGTCTCCAATTGCTCTACTGAAGAGATTTGGATAAATCAGGTGAGCATTGACTGTGAGACCGCAGAGCGGGGGAGGCATTAAACTCCCTTGTCTTCCATTGCAGCCTTCTGGAATGACACAGATGCCAATGATCTTATTTGCATCTAGTCCTGGAAGCACCCGGACTTCGGGATGCCTTTTCAGTCTGTGCCTCTGCATATTGGAGGTTCCACATATTAGTCCAAAATTGCATGAGGCCGTACATCTGCCATGCTCTAGGGTTTCATGACACAGACCTGAAAAAGCTCCTGTCTGCTCATTAGATCAAACACTTTCTACAGCTGTTGCAAATCAAAAGAAAATATCTGATTTTTGTATTCTGAATCAGTAACCAGTATTGAAGGGCCAATTGGCAGAAGATCCAAAGATTCAAAAATCTTAATTCCCACAGTGTTAAAACAGATTAGATTATTATCGTGTTTTGCACATCTGTCAGTCATTTCAGTCATGTTACATTAAAAACCAGTTGGTTACAACAGAATACTAAATATCTTATAAAGTGCTGCTGGCCTTTACAGTGCATGTAATTATTGGTGGAGAACTATAGATAATTAAATAATTTTTAATGATATCCTCATAAATAAACAATTTATAAACTTGTTTGCTTTCTTACCATCTGGGAGCATTCTGTTATCCATCTGCTTCATGTAATTATCAATAAAAGGGAAGAATAGGTGATATAATTAACAAGAATAACTGATCCACAATGAAGAACAAAAATGTTGCACATCTGTTGAATTATTTTCTTATTGCTGCCCTTTCATTATTATTCATGCTATTTGGTTTATTATTATTTTTTTCATGGTTGCATTCAAGCTGTCAGGTTTTATTGCACAGTTCAGAATCATTTTTTCTGCTACAGCTCATAGAAAGAAGACAACAATTATTAAAGTATTGCAGAAGCCTAGACAGGGTTGCATTAATTTATTTTAAAACAAACAAACAAACAACCCCAACCAACCAAACCAAACACTTTCTCAGTTAACTTTGTACTTCTCAAGTGATTCTACAAGTGCATTACAGGAAATGTTTAAATCA